CGTGTCTTTCTCCCCGTGTCTCTCTCTCCGTGTCTCTCCCCGTGTCTCTCTCCCCGTGTCTCTCTCCGTGTCTCTCTACCCGTGTCTCTCTCACCGTGTCTCTCACCACGTGTCTCTCTCCCGTGTCTCTCTCCCCGTGTCTCTCTCCCCGTGTCTCTCCCCGTGTCTCACCCCGTGTCTCACCACGTGTCTCTCTCACCACGTGTCTCTCTCACCACGTGTCTCTCTCACCACGTGTCTCTCTCACCACGTGTCTCTCTCACCACGTGTCTCTCTCCCCGTGTCTCTCTCCCCGTGTCTCTCTCCCCGTGTCTCTCTCTGTGTCTCTCTCCCCGTGTCTGTCTCTCCCCGTGTCTCTCTCCTCCGTGTCTCGCTCCCCGTGTCTCTCTCTCTGTGTCGCTCTACCCGTGTCTCTCTCCCCCGTGTTTCTCCCTGTGTCTCTCCCTCCGTTTCTCTTCTCCCCGTGTCTCTCTCACCGTGTCTCTCCCCGTGTCTTTCTCCCCGTGTCTCTCTCTCCGTGTCTCTCCCCGTGTCTCTCTCCCCGTGTCTCTCTCCGTGTCTCTCTACCCGTGTCTCTCTCACCGTGTCTCTCACCACGTGTCTCTCTCCCGTGTCTCTCTCCCCGTGTCTCTCTCCCCGTGTCTCTCCCCGTGTCTCACCCCGTGTCTCTCTCTCTCCTTGTCTCTCTCTCCCCGTGTGTCTTTCCCCGTGTCTCTCTCCGTGTCTCTCTCACCACGTGTCTCTCTCCCCGTGTCTCTCTCCCCGTGTCTCTCTCTGTGTCTCTCTCCCCGTGTCTGTCTCTCCCCGTGTCTCTCTCCCCCGTGTCTCGCTCCCCGTGTCTCTCTCTCTGTGTCGCTCTACCCGTGTCTCTCTCCCCCGTGTTTCTTCCTGTGTCTCTCCCTCCGTTTCTCTTCTCCCCGTGTCTCTCTCTCCGTGTCTCTCCCCGTGTCTCCCACCACGTGTCTCTCTCACCACGTGTCTCTCTCTCCCCGTGTCTCTCTCTCCCCGTGACTTTCTCTCCCCGTGTCTCTCTCTCCACGTGTCTCTCACCACGTGTCTCTCTCACCACGTGTCTCTCTCACCACGTGTCTCTATCACCACGTGTCTCTCACACCACGTGTCTCTCCCCGTGTCTCTCTCCCCGTGTCTCTCACACCACGTGTCTCTCTCTCACCGCGTGTCTCTCTCACCACGTGTCTCTCACACCACGTGTCTCTCTCCCCCCGTGTCTCTCTCCCCCCGTGTCTCTCTCCCCGTGTCTCTCTCCCCGTGTCTCTCTCACCACGTGTCTCTCTCTCTCACCGCGTGTCTCTCTCACCACGTGTCTCTCTCCCCGTGTCTCTCTCCCCGTGTCTCTCTCACCACGTGTCTCTCTCTCTCACCGTGTGTCTCTCTCACCACGTGTCTCACCACGTGTCTCACCACGTGTCTCTCTCACCACGTGTCTCACCACGTGTCTCACAACGTGTTTCACCACGTGTCTCACCACGTGTCTCTCCCACCACGTGTCTCTCTCACCACGTGTCTCACCCCGTGTCTCTCTCACCACGTGTCTCTCTCTCTCACCACGTGTCTCTCTCACCACGTGTCTCTCTCTCACCACGTGTCTCTCCCACCACGTGTCTCTCTCACCACGTGTCTCTCTCTCTCACCACGTGTCTCTCTCACCACGTGTCTCTCTCACCACGTGTCTCTCACACCACGTGTCTCTCTCCCCGTGTGTCTCTATCCGTGTGTCTCTCTCCCCGTGTGTCTCTCTCCCCGTGTGTCTCACCACGTGTCTCTCTCCCCGTGTCTCTCTCCCCCCGTGTCTCTCTCACCACGTGTCTCTCTCACCACGTGTCCCTCTCCCCGTGTCTCTTTCCCCGTGTCTCTCTCCCCGTGTCTCTCTCTCCGTGTCTCTCACTCTCCCCGTGTCTCTCTCCACGTGTCTCTCTCTCCCCGTGTCTCTCTCACCACGTGTCTCACTCACCACGTGTCTCTCTCACCACGTGTCTCACCACGTGTCTCTCTCACCACGTGTCTCACCACGTGTCTCACCACGTGTCTCTCTCACCACGTGTCTCTCTCACCACGTGTCTCTCTCACCACGTGTCTCTCTCACCACGTGTCTCTCTCACCACGTGTCTCTCTCACCACGTGTCTCTCTCACCACGTGTTTCACCACGTGTCTCACGACGTGTCTCTCTCACCACGTGTCTCACCACGTGTCTCACCACGTGTCTCACCACGTGTCTCTCTCACCACGTGTCTCTCTCACCACGTGTCTCTCTCACCACGTGTCTCTCTCACCACGTGTCTCTCTCACCACGTGTCTCTCTCACCACGTGTCTCTCTCACCACGTGTCTCTCTCACCACGTGTCTCTCTCACCACGTGTCTCACCACGTGTCTCACCACGTGTCTCACCACGTGACTCTCTACTAGAGACCCATGGGAGACTTTGGCCTGCTGGGCTCTCTGCTGGACTCAGCCCAGGAGCACTCCACTGCCGTGGGCCGCGTGTGGCTCTCCGTGCTCTTCGTGCTGCGCATCCTCGTGCTCACCGCCGGCGCAGACCAGGTGAGAGGGGGGGAGTGTCCGTGACGTCACAACGGGGGCGTGTCCGTGACGTCACAATGGGGGGGGCGTGTCCGTGACGTCACAATGCTGGTCCCGCCCACCCGCAGGTGTGGGGCGACGAGCAGTCGGACTTCAGCTGCAACACGCAGCAGCCGGGCTGCGAGAACGTGTGCTACGACACGGCGTTCCCCATCTCGCACGTGCGCTACTGGGGCCTGCAGGTCATCGCCGTCTCCACGCCCGCACTTGCCTACCTGGGGCACGTGCTGCACGTGGTCAGGCAGGTGAGGTGGTGCGCATACACACAGACACACAGACACACACACAGACACACACACATAGTGTACACACACACAGACACACACAGACACACACACATAGTGTACACACACACAGACACACACAGACACACACACATAGTGTACACACACACAGACATACACACACACACACAGACACACACAGACACACACACATAGTGTACACACACACACAGACACACACAGACACACACTCGCCTACCTGGGGCACGTGCTGCACGTGGTCAGGCAGATGAGGTGGCGTGTGTGTGCACGCAGAGAGACACACATAGTATACACACACATAGTGTACACACACACACGCAGACACACACACACGCAGACACACACACACATAGACACACGCACAGACACACACACACGGACACACACACACAGATACACACACACAGACACACACAGACACAGACACACACACATCGCATAAACACATACACACACACCTACACACAGAGACACACACACAAAAACACACACACACAGACACACACACATCGCATAAACACAGACACACACAGACACACACACAGACACACACCACACACACACCGCACACACCACCACCTCCCCACCGTCTGTGACCTCACAATGGGCAGCGTCCGTGACCTCACAACCGGCCATATCCACCCATCGTATCGACCCATGCATTGTATCTGTTGTTCGTGTCTATCCATCCGTCGTATCTCTCCATTGTATCTCTCCATCGCATCTCTCCATCGCATCTCTCCATCGCATCTCTCCATCGCATCTCTCCATCGCATCTCTCCATCGCATCTGTCCGTCGTACCCATCCCACGTCGTATCCTCCTCCCCCCCCGCCCCCCCCCCTGCCCCCCCCCCCCACGTGTCTCTCTCACCACGTGTCTCACCACGTGTCTCTCTCTTGCCACGTGTCTCACCACGTCTCTACCCACGTGTCTATCTCACCACGTGTCTATCTCACCACGCGTCTCTCTCACCACGTGTCTCTCTTACCACGTGTCTCTCTCACCACGTGTCTCTCTCTTGCCACGTGTCTCACCACGTCTCTACCCACGTGTCTATCTCACCACGTGTCTCTCTCACCACGTGTCTCTCTCACCACGTGTCTCTCTTACCACGTGTCTCTCTCACCACGTGTCCCTCTCACCACGTGTCTCACCACGTGTCTGACCACGTGTCTCTCACCACGTGTCTATCTCACCACGTGTCTCTCTCACCACGTGTCTCTCACCACGTCTCTCTCACCACGTGTCTCACCACGAGTCTCTCTCCCCCCCCCCCCCCAGGAGAGCAAGCAGTCCAGCGCCCCCTCAGCAAGCGGCAAGCCCCCCCCGCCCCCCCGCGTCTCTCCGGACGGCCGCGTGCCAATCCGCGGGGCCCTCCTGCGCTCGTACCTCCTGAGCCTCGCCTGCCGGGCCCTGCTGGAGGCCTCCTTCATCTACGGGCAGGGCCGCCTCTTCGGCCTGTCGCTGGCCCACCTCTACCGCTGCCGCACGTGGCCCTGCCCCAACGTCGTCGACTGCTTCGTGTCGCGCGCCACCGAGAAGACCGTCTACGTGCGCCTCATGCTCGCCGCATCGAGCCTCGGCCTGGCCCTCAACGTCGCCGAGTTCGCCTACTTGCTGTGCCACGCCGCGCGCCGACGCCGGGCCAAGCGCCGGGAGGCAGCGGACGTCGTCGGCGTCGCCGCCGCCGCGCCGGTACCGGGCGGACCGCACCCGCCGGCGGGAGACTTCGATCGACCCCCCGAGGCTCCGGCCTACGCCGGTGCCCCGCCGCTCTACAGCCTGTACCAGCAGGCCGAGCCAGCGGGGGCCGCAGGGAGCCACGGGGCCCACGGGGGCCGGGAGGCCTCGGGGGCCGTCCCGGCAGGACTGGGAGAGCCAGGAGAGCGGCAGGCTTCGGGGGGAACCACTGGGCCTCCCCGCGTGGGAGCCGCCCCCTGGGGCGGTGATGTCTCCTGTGATGTCTCCTGTGGCGGCCATGTCTCCTCCTGTGATAGCTTCTCCTGTGATGGCTTCTCCTGTGATGTGTCCTCCTGCTGTGATGTGTCCTCCTGCCGTGATGTCTTCTCCTCCTGCCGCGATGTCTACTCGAGCGATTTCTCCGGCCATGGTGAGCGAAGGGGCCTATGGCGGCAGGCCGAGCTCCAGCCGCTCCAGGCACGGAGATCTGCAGGTGTGAGTGGTGTGCGTCTGTGTGTGTGTCTGTCTGTGAGTGTGTCTGTCTGTGCGTGTGTGTGTGTGTGTGTCTGTGTGTGTCTGTGTTTCTGTGTGTGTCAAGGTGCACATGGCCTGGCACAAGCGTCGTGGTGACGTCACCGCCACTTAGTGGCGAATGGCGGTTGTTGTTGTTGTGTCTGTGTGTGTCTGTGTTTCTGTGTGTGTGTCTGTCTGTGTGTGTCAAGGTGCACATGGCCTGGCACAAGCGTCGTGGTGACGTCACCGCCACTTAGTGGCGAATGGCGGTTGTTGTTGTTGTTGTGTGTGTCTGTGTGTGTGTCTGTCTGTTTAAGAAGGGGGGCCGCACAGACTGTAACAACTACAGGGGCATCTCACTCCTCAGAGTGCCGGGAAAGGACCAGGCAAGGGTTATTCAACATCGCCTTGCCAGGCACGCTGAGGAGAGGCTTGCGGAGACCCAATGCGGTTTCAGGAAAGGGCGGTCCTGCACAGATGCCATATTTTCTGTCCGTCTACTACAGCAGAGGTATAGGGAATTCCAACAAGACCTACATCTCTGCTTTATTGACCTGGTCAAGGCCTATGCTACCATCAGTAGGCCTGGGCTCTCGGATGTTCTTCGTGCTTTCGGAGTCTCTGACCCTCTGCTCACGATCATTAAGGACCTTCATGATGGTGAGCGGGCCTGGGTTAAACTACGTGGCCGGCAGTCGGAGCCATTCCCTGTACACCTTGGGGTGCGACAGGGATGTCCTCTGGCTCCCACATTATTTAACATCTATTTTGACCACGTAGTTTGTGAAGCCTTCAATAGCTGTACCGGGGGAATTTCCATTTGGTACAGATATAATGTGAGGCTGATCGACGCCCCGGTGCAATCAAGGGATGGCTCCCTATTGGTCAACCACGTTATGTATGCCGATGATGTGGTAATAGCTGCTCATTCAGAAGAGGAGTTGGAGACGCTGCTGCTGAAACTGGAGCGTGCCACTAAGAGGTGGGGCCTTACCATCAGTCCCACCAAAACTAAGCACCTGCCTGGGTATTTTGTACCATCGGACACTCCACCCCCACAACTCCCATTCGGTGATGTGGCAGTTGTGGAGAGAGTGGAGAGTTTCCCATACCTGGGCAGTGTGCTTATGACCGACTCCAGTTTAACAGAAGAAATCTCACCTCGAATCAGTCGAGCGGCAATATCTTTTCATCGGTTGCGTAACGCTGTGTGGAAGCTACCTGGTCTGTCGCTTTGCACGAAGCTTCAGGTCTTCTCGGCCACGGTCATTCCCTCCCTTCTCTACGCTTGCGAAACGTGGACCCCCCTAATGGAGCATCTTCGCCGGTTGGAAACATTTAGGCTGGCCTGCCTACGATCCATCCTGGGTTTAACCAGGCCGGATTGTGTGAGGAGTTCACAAATCCTTGAAAGATCTGGGCAAAGTCCCATCGGTGAGCTCCTCCGGCAGGCAAGGCTGTGTTGGCTGGGTCATGTAGCCCGCATGCCCAGCCACCGCATGCCTAAACAGCTTTTGTTCGGCCGGATCGAGGGGGCTAAACGGGCCCGGCACGGGCTAGAGAAGAGATGGAGTGATGTGGTACAGGAGGAGGTGGAGCTGAGTGGACTTGCCGATGACTGGTACCAGCGGTGTCAAGATCGGCCTCTGTGGAGGAGGCTCGTGAAGGACGCTACTGGGCAGTTGGAGGCAGTCGCCCTCCAGCAACAACGGAGGGCGGAGGAGTGACGCGTGCGTGTCTGTGTGTGTGGCTGTCTGTCTCTGTAAGTGTGTCTATCTGTGTGTACGTGTGTCTGTCTGTGTGTCTGTGTGTTTGTCTGTGTGTCCCACTAAAAATACTCACTCACCTACTCACCCACCCACCCACCCACCTCCTCCCTCATCTACCCACCCACCCACCCACTCACTCACCCACCCACCCACGCAATGTAAGTGTGTGTGTGTGTGTACGCCGGACTTCTTTTGCACCATACGTAGCCGACCGTGCCAATCGGGACACCATTGTTTGACGGCGTGAACATGGTGCATGGCGCTTGTACTCTCCGCCTCTTCCCAGTCTCACACAGGCGGTGTAGAGACACTGCGGATTGTGTTTAGACCCAATGGTATTGAAGGGCTCTGCATCACATTATCACCACCATCACCATCATCACCATCATCATCACAGAGTGTTGGTGTCAGAGGTCGCAACCGGGTACCCGATACCCGTACCCTACCCGATATCCGGCTACCCGTACCCGGCCAGTCACTGGTGAGTCACCGTTTGTCACTCATTTCCCAACGTCTTGTCTCTTCTCACAATTCAAGCTCCTAGAATCGACCCACCCGCGCCTGCAACATGGCTTCATCCCAGAGGTCGCAATCAGGTACCCGATACTCGTACCCTACCCGTACCCGGCCGGGTACGGGTAGGGTATGGGTACGGCCGGGTACGGGTACCCGTTTGCGACCCTGGTGCGGCCGGGTATGGGTACGGGGGGTAAGGAATCAAAACCCGTTTGCGACCTCTGCTTGGTGTGCATGGTTATTGTGCTGTCCGCCTTTGACCGCTGTTCCTGATGACGAGATCGGTTGAGTGATCTTCACCGCGCCGAATTGCCGATGTGACCACAACCACCACTACCACCACTACCACCATCACCAGCACCATCAACACCACCACCACCACTACCCCCATCACCAGCACCATCACCACCACCACCACCACTACCCCCAACACCATCACCACCACCACCACTACCCCCACCACCAGCACAACGACCACAACCACCACCACCACCACTACCCCCAACACCATCACCACCACCACCACTACCCCCACCACCAGCACAACGACCACAACCACCACCACCTCCACCACCTCCACCACGACCAACTCCACCACAACCACCACCTCTACCACCATCACAACCACCATTACCATCAACACCATCACCACCACAACCACAACCACCACGACTACCACCATCACCACCACCCATCACACCACCTTCGTCAACGAATGAGCGAGGGGCATATTCGAAGTCGTTGCTCACGAAGTAAAAACATTTTGTGTTGTTGTTGTTTTAAAATAAAACACATTTTGTGTTGTTGTTGTTGTTGTTTTAAAATAAAATAAAAAAATACAAATTCAAAGTTGGTCGCGTTCACCCTGCAGGCCTCGTGCCCAATGGGTGGTGGTTGTGGTGGTTGTGGTGTTGGTGGTGGTGTTGGTGGTGTTGGTGGTGGTGCAACTCGCGGTGTGGAAGTTGTTCTCGGTCGAGTTCGTGAAGTCGCTACACACACACAGACACACACACACAGACACACACACAGACACACACACACAGACACACACAGATACACACACACAGACACACACACACAGACACACACACACAGACACACACAGACACACACAGACACACACACACAGAGACACACACACACAGAGACACACACACACAGACACACACACACAGACACACACACACAGACACACACACACAGACACACACAAACACACACACACAGACACACACCCACAAACACACATAGACACACACACAAGTTGTCTCAAGGACAAGTCACCGGGCGGTGCTCAGAGCGATGAAATGCACTCGGTCGCCTCAACAGTACAGGAGGTGCAACAGCTTTGCACACTGGTGTGGGCGGAGTTTGGTTGACGTCTGATTGGCTGAGGCTCCGCTGTTCACTTAGTGAGCTGAGATTCATTCATTAAGACTGTGTGTGTGTACAGACTGTGTGTGCGTAACACGCTGTGTGTGTGTAACACACTGTGTGTGTGTGTACTGTGTGTGTGTACTGTGTGTGTACTGTGTGTGTAAAAAGCTGTGTGTGTGTAACACGCTGTGTGTGTATAACAAGCTGTGTGTGTAACAGGCTGTGTGTGTGTGTGTAACAGGCTGTGTGTGTATGTAACATGCTGTGTGTATGTAACATGCTGTGTGTGTGTGTACAGACTGTGTGTGTGTGTAACAGACTGTGTGTGTGTGTACTGTGTGTGTACTGTGTGTGTGTAACAAGATGTGTGTGTGTAACAAGCTGTGTGTGTACTGTGTGTGTGTAACACGCTGTGTGTGTACTGTGTATACTGTGTGTACTGTGTGAGTGTGTGTACTGTGTGAGTGTATAACAAGCTGTGTGTGTGTAACACACTGTGTGTGTGTACCGTGTGTGTGTGTGTACTGTGTGAGCAGGGGCGGTTTCTTCATTAGGGCGATTGGGCGACGCACCACCAATGTCATTGAACCACAGAGTCACGCTAGCCGTCACTGTGCCTCTGGATATAGTCCAATCAGCGTCATGTCACGTTCTGTGGAGTACCGCCTCTTTTTGGGCGATTTCACTCTGGCTGAGAATCGCCCCGAGTGTTCCCATAGACTTACATTCAAAGATGTTTTTTTTCGAACGGCGGGCGCTCCAATGCATTCTCTATGGCTTCCGGGAGGGCTCGCCCTAACGTGCTAACGTCATCATACGTAAGCACGTTTCAGTCAACAATATTATTTGTCGCCACCTAGTGGAATCTTTAATAAAAGAAACTGAGTAGATTGTAATAATAGTGAGTATAGATACAAACAAGATGTATTGTAAGAGTCACTTTATTTTTCATTAATATTAAAGAAGTGAAGTTGCCTTTACATGCTTAAGCTGTTAATTTATTCATTGCATGGGTGGACCTTATCCTTATCAATCATCCAGACATTTGCCCCCGCTGAGAGAATTTGCAGGCGCCGCCACTGTGTCTGAGTGTGTGTACTGTGTGAGTGTATAACAAGCTGTGTGTGTGTAACATGCTGTGTGTGTGTAACACGCTGTGTGTGTGTACTGTGTGTGTGTGTACTGTGTGAGTGTGTTTACTGTGTGAGTGTATAACAAGCTGTGTGTGTGTAACACGCTGTGTGTGTGTACTGTGTGTGTGTGTGTACTGTGTGAGTGTGTGTACTGTGTGAGTGTATAACAAGCTGTGTGTGTGTAACATGCTGTGTGTGTAACACGCTGTGTGTGTGTACTGTGTGTGTGTACTGTGTGAGTGTGTGTACTGTGTGAGTGTATACCACGCTGTGTGAGTGTATAACACGCTGAGTGTGTGTGTAACACGCTGTGTGTGTAACAGGCTGAGTGTGTGTGTATACTGTGTGTGTGTACTGTGTGTGTGTACTGTGTGTGTACTGTGTGTGTGTAGCAGGCTGTGTGTGTGTGTAACACGCTGTGTGTGTACTGTCTGTGTGTGTGTACTGTGTGAGTGTATAACAGGCTGTGTGTGTAACAGGCTGAGTGTGTGTGTGTATACTGTGTGTGTGTACTGTGTGTGTGTACTGTGTGTGTACTGTGTGTGTGTAGCGGGCTGTGTGTGTGTGTAACAGGCTGTGTGTGTGTACTGTGTGTGTGTACTGTGTGTGTGTACTGTGTGTGTGTGTACTGTGTGTGTACTGTGTGTGTACTGTGTGTGTGTAACAGGCTATGTGTGTGTGTGTACTGTGTGTGTGTGTACTGTGTGTGTGTACTGTGTGTGTGTGTACTGTGTGTATCTACTGTGTGTGTGTACTGTGTGCGTGTACTGTGTGTATGTATTGTGTGTGTGTACTGTGTGAGTGTGTAACACGCTGTGTGTGTGTACTGTGTGTGTGTCTACTGTGTGTGTGTACTGTGTGTACTGTGTGTACACTGTGTGTGTGTACTGTGTGTACTGTGTGTACACTGTGAGTGTGTGTACTGTGTGTGTACTGTGTGTGTGTACTGTGTGTGTGTACTGTGTGTGTGTAACAGGCAGTGTGTGTACTGCATGAGTGTGTGTGTGTACTGTGTGTGTGTGCGTGCTGTGTGTGTGTACTGTGTGTGTGTACTGTGTGTACACTGTGTGTGTGTGTGTACTGTGTGTGTGTACTGTGTGTGTGTGTACTGTGTGTACTGTGTGTGTGCACTGTGAGTGTGTACTGTGTGTGTGTACTGTGTGTGTGTGTACTGTGTGAGTGTGTGTGTACTGTGTTTGTATTGTGTGTGTACTGTGTGTGTACTGTGTGTGTACTGTATGTGCACACTGTGAGTGTGTGTGTACTGTGTGTAACAAGCTGTGTGTGTGTACTGTGTGTGTGTCTGTGTGTGTGTACTGTGTGAGTGTGTACTGTGTGTACTGTGTGTGTGTGTACTGTGTGTGTATGTACTGTGTGTGTAACAGGCTGTGTGTGTGTACTGTATGTGTGTACTATATGTGGGTGTAACAGGCTGTGTGTGTGTAACAGGCTGCGTGTGTGTGTGTGTACTGTATGTGTGTACTGTGTGTGTGTGTACTGTGTGTGTGTGTGTGCTGTGTGTGTACTGTGTGTGTGTACTGTGTGTGTACACTGTGTGTGTGTAGTGTGTGTGTGTGTACTGTGTGTGTGTGTACTGTGTGAGTGTGTGTATACTGTGTGTGTGTACTGTGTGTGTGTGTACTGTGTGTGTGTGTGCACTGTGGGAGTGTGTGTGTACTGTGTGTGTGTGTACTGTGTGTGTGTACTGTGTGTGTACACTGTGTGTGTGTGTACTGTGTGTGTACTGTGTGTGTACTGTGTGTGTGTAGCAGGCTGTGTGTGTGTGTAACAGGCTGTGTGTGTGTGTGTACTGTGTGTGTGTACTGTGTGTGTGTGTACTGTGTGTATCTACTGTGTGTGTGTACTGTGTGTATGGAGTAGTGTACTGTGTGTGTACTGTGTGTGTGTACTGTGTGTGTGTAACAGGCTGTGTGTGTGTACTGTGTGTGTGTACTGTGTTTGTGTACTGTGTGTGTGTACTGTGTGTGTGTACTGTGTGTATCTACTGTGTGTGTGTACTGTGTGTGTGTACTGTGTGTGTGTACTGTGTGAGTGTGTAACACGCTGTGTGTGTGTACTGTGTGTGTCTACTGTGCGTGTGTACTGTGTGTACTGTGTGTACACTGTGTGTGTGTACTGTGTGTACTGTGTGTACACTGTGAGTGTGTGTACTGTGTGTGTGTACTGTGTGTGTGTACTGTGTGTGTGTAACAGGCAGTGTGTGTACTGCGTGAGTGTGTGTGTGTACTGTGTGTGTGTGCGTGCTGTGTGTGTGTGTACTGTGTGTGTGTACTGTGTGTACACTGTGTGTGTGTGTACTGTGTGTGTGTACTGTGTGTGTGTGTACTGTGTGTACTGTGTGTACTGTGAGTGTGTACTTTGTGTGTATTGTGTGTGTACTGTGTGAGTGTGTGTACTGTGTTTGTATTGTGTGTGTACTGTGTGTGTACTGTGTGTACTGTGTGTGTGTACTGTATGTGTACACTGTGAGTGTGTGTGTACTGTGTGTAACAAGCTGTGTGTATGTACTGTGTGTGTGTCTGTGTGTGTATCTGTGTGTCTGTGTGTGTGTGTACTGTGTGTACTGTGTGAGTGTGTACTGTGTGTACTGTGTGTGTGTGTACTGTGTGTGTGTACTGTATGTGTACACTGTGTGTGTAGTGTGTGTGTGTAACAGGCTGTGTGTGTACTGTGTGTGTGTACTGTATGTGTGTACTGTGTGTGTGTACTCTGTGTGTGTACTGTGTGTGTAACAGGCTGTGTGTGTGTACTGTATGTGTGTACTGTGTGTGTGTGTAACAGGCTGTGTGTGTGTGTAACAGGCTGCGTGTGTGTGTGTACTGTATGTGTGTACTGTGTGTGTGTGTGTACTGTGTGTGTATACTGTGTGTGTACTGTATGGGTGTACTGTGTGTGTGTGTGTGTACTGTGTGTGTGTACTGTGTGTGTGTACTGTGTGTGTACACTGTGTGTGTGTAGTGTGTGTGTGTGTACTGTGTGTGTGTATACTGTGTGAGTGTGTGTATACTGTGTGTGTACTGTGTGTGTGTGTACTGTGTGTGTGCACTGTGGGAGTGTGTGTGTACTGTGTGTGTGTACTGTGTGTGTGTACTGTGTGTGTGTACTGTGTGTGTGACACTGTGAGTGTGTGTACTGTGTGTGTGTACACTGTGTGTGTGTACTGTGTGTGTGTACTGTGTGTGTGTACACTGTGAGTGTGTGTGTACTGTGTGTGTGTACTGTGTGTGTGTACTGTGTGTATGTGTACTGTGTGTGTGTGACACTGTGAGTGTGTGTGTACTGTGTGTGTGTACTGTGTGTGTGTACTGTGTGTGTGTGTGTG